TATGTTCGTTTTCTGATCGTGATATTTTTGAGTTTTGATACACAGAGATGTGCATCCTGCCTGCGTAGGCACGTATGATCACTGCCCGCTCAGCCATGTATGCTTGTGGACGTGAACGCTGATGCACGGATATTGTTCGTCCTCGTGTACGGTTCTTTAATCTGCTACCGTCTTCGCCCGAATAGAACGCCCAGTCATAATCGAAGTATCTAGACGGAAAGTTGCCCCAAGTACAGCTACAATGACCAGGACGGTAGTGATCTTCCACGATGACGGTTTGTTATCTGGTTCTGTTATCTGCGTGTGCTCTTCCACGTGCACGCTCATCTGCATGTGGACGAGCAAAACGTCCGCGTACAGTTCTGTTATCTGCATGCGCTCTTCCACATGTACGCTCATCTGCATGCGGACGAGTCCACGTGCAGTTGTGTTACCTGTGTGTGTTCTTGCACGTGTACTCCCATCTGCATGTGGCCGCACAATACGTCCATGTACGGTTCTGTTATCTGCAAGTGCACTTTTTGTGTACGCTCATCTGCATGAAGTCGTCCATTTGTGTTTGTCTACGAGTACTCTCATCTGCATGTGGCCGAGCGATACGTCCACGTATGGTTCTGTTATCATCGGCGTACACTCATCCATTCACAGATCGTGTGTGCATTTTCCCCTTCAAGGCTTACAGAGGGACAAGATAGGATTGTGAATCCATAACGTAGATGTGCTAGATTGACAGGGCGGTAAAGGGAGCTATTCTGTGAGCATCAGTTTTCTGACTTGGAGTTGTGGGCAGCAGACGGGGTCAAGCACTTGTTTTCTGACAATCTTTTCTCCTGGAGCAAGGTGTTTGGAAGTACGATGACAAACTTTATAATATGCGTTAACTGGTCTGAATAGGTTGTTCACATTGCGGATCAGTCCTGTTCTTGTCCTTGCGATTGGGAGTGTCCGGCGGTGTTCATCAGTTCTTGTCACTACCGGCTGGAGTACCGGTGTTGTTGTCGCAGTTGGGCTCCGGTAGCAGTTCGCATGTGTGTGGGCGGTCTTATCCTTGACGCAAGGGGGAAAAAAAGGGGGGGGGGGGGGGGGGGGGG